ATAGCCATCAGCACAGTGCTACTACACGTAACTAAAAACAACAAATCGAGGAAAAAGAGGCCTTCGGGTGAACGGTTTCTAGGCAATTTCTTAAACGATTATTGTCTTTTAGTCCCAGTGCTCTTCCATTTACTTTATTTTGCTTCGCACTCAGGCTTGTTATTCGGTACTCTTTAATTACCTGATCCGCTTGAGTGTCTTGTATTGTTCGTTCTCTGCCTTATTGTCAGATCTCCCACTCATCCTACCGTCGAAGGCGAGTTGTCCAAGGCCCTTTTAGCTTGCAGCTATCTTGACGATTTAAGCGCGGAAGCCTACAGGAAAGTATGTCAAGCAAATTGTTTTATCTGTCATGTTATTTGTGACTCTGGTATTGTTTCATTATTTCTTTTGTTGCTCCTGCATCGAGTTTTAGGTCTTTTCAGCCTAGGCAGTGATGAGCGCTTGTCTTGCACAGTTTGCATTCGGTTTTGTTTTGTACGACATCCTTTGTTTACTTCTCTTAGTGACACATTTGTCAACTACAACACTTCTCAGCCATTTTTACTTGTGGAACCAGAGGTCACCTTAAGTCTGCTTAAGAGATAAGTTACCAGTGACCTATGCATGAGGCCTTTAAAGCCATCCACACCATATCTGCCTAATCTTCGATCTTGGTAGCTTATACTTCGTAAGCTGTGGCACCGGGCACTCCAGGTAATGTTTCGCTTCCCAACTCCGAACCAGTTTTCAAACTAACCTTATTGACCCTTACCGTACATTTTTGATTCCCATATACCGACGGCGACCGTATCCATATAGAACATAAGCCCTTACAGGACCTAGTCCAAAATTGCCAGTGAGCTTATTGGTCCAGTCTTTCGTATTGCCAGTCATCATCATCATCGTCATCAACAGCAGTACATTAGTCATTTGAACTGATGCTTCGCTGCCATGCAACCATGAGGACCTATGAAATAAAGGATAATAAGAACAAGAGAATGGGGACTTACCTGATAACCTCAATGCCCTAAGCAAACATTCACGGTCAAGGCGCTTACACCTTGTGTAGACAACATACCGTCACAAACAGCTGGCTATCGTGCAAAGGTAAGGCGGCATCGGCGAGACAGCTTCCTTGCGGCTTTCACTGCCACGCGTCATAATCAGCCATTACCCCGCAGATAACTCAGCACCAAACGTACTTTAAACAGGCAATCCAATTAGGAGACGGCAGCAGACGCACCACTGGTGTCTACTGCGAGCCTTGTCCTGTAAAGTCTCGAGCCAAGCACAAGGCGAATCACGTGGACTCCAGCCCGGAAGGCGAGACGGACCAACGGCACCCAGTTTGGCCGTCAGTGACTTCGTTTCCCGCTGCCAAGTCAACTTCTGTCCACCTCGAACCTTGCGCCACCCTACACCTGGCAGACTAAACAAGGCCCCCCTAGGTAAGCGATGACCAGGCATACGTAGCACGTGTCCGAGCCAACGCAACTTATTCAGTGCTATCTGTTGTTCTAGGGAGCTAGCATGATTATCACCACCTAGTACTCGCCTATGCACATCATCGTTGCGGACACGCTGGTGCCATCCGACACCAGCAATGCTTCGCAGACAACGATGATTAGAGATATGAAGGCGATTTAGATCTTCAGACCGAAGGGGCCAGGTCTCAGTCTAATAGAACAGGACGGTCCTCACTGTGGCCTTGTATACATGGCCTTTCAGACGGAGGGAAACTTTCTTCTGTCGCCAAAGAGGCCGCACGTTCAAGAAGGTAGCTCTGGCTTTTGCAATGTGTGAGCTGACGCCAGTTTCTATGCGCCTATCGTTGCTGATGCAGCTGCCAAGATAAGTGAATTGATCAACCACCTCGAGTTCCTCGTTAGCAAGGGTCAAGGGGTCATAAAGTGGCTGGTGGTCCTGCAGCAACGGTTTGTACTTTGAAGGTGCGAAGTGCCTACCAAATAATGGGGCCACTCTAGACAGGTTATTCAGGGTTGATTGTGCCACCGCAACATCGTCGAAAAGCAAGAAGATATCGTCCGCATAACCAAGATCCACTAATCCTTCAGCAGGCAGCACTTCAACGCCTACATCGTGAGATTTCGCAAGAAAGCACTCCATTATAGAATCCACGACGAAGTTGAACAAAAATGGAGAAATCGGACCACCCTGACGAACGCCACTTGTAGTCGGAAAACTATCTGATAGGATACCGTAAACCCTGACGCGGCCTGTAGTGTTCGAGTATAGAGCACGAAGAATGTTCACATATTTCGTGGGAACACCTTTCCGCGCAAGTATTTCGAACGGAATCGATCGATCGATTGAATCGAACGCACTCTTGAAATCTAGGAACACAGCTATTGTCGGTCTGCGGTATGCGTGGCGCTGCTCTAGCACCTGCCGCAAAGTGAATATACGGTCTATACAGCCACGTCCTGGGCGGAAATCTGCCTGCTCTTCCCTAATCCGAGATTCCCGTCCCATAGTGAGGCGACGAACGAGAACCGAGGCCAGGAATTTCCTCACAACTGGCGTTAGGCTAATACCCCTGTGGGTATAACAGTCTGTGCGACTGCTCTTCTTGTATATTGCCACTATAATCGATTCGCTCCAATTAGCCGGGACACTTCGTTCCAGATACGTTCGAATTGGTAGGTCAATGCTTTGCAGACGACCTCACCTCTATCCTTAAATAGTGCAGGTGGGAGGCAATCCGGACCAGCGTGTCACGAAAACGATTGAGGGTTGTGATCGCGTTTCGGACCTCGGCCTCCGACGGAGGCTCTAAACTAACCATCCATGGCTCGTCCTGCATCACCTGAGTAGGAAGAGGTTCGGGAGCAGGAGGCCAGCTGAACTGATCTTGAAAGTATTCCGCCCAACGAGCCATACGGCGTTCCTTGTGTATCAGTACACTGGTTGTCTCACTGACGCCTGGTTTTCTGGAACAAGCGGTGTGGATTAGCTGGAAGAGCTTGCGGTAATTGCCTACTCCTCCTCCATTTCTTGTGCCCTACTGGTCCACCAGGCTTCCTTGTTAGCATGTAGGCTCCGCTTTAGTTCACGCCTACTAGCCCGTCTGGTCATATTGTATTCAGAGCCAGGCGGGAGGTTTCTCCTAGATTCCAACTGGTTCCCTTACCTCTCGAATATCCAATGACTGGTGCGGTGACGATGGATAGTGCCACAAGCAGATGCTCCTGCGTCGTGCATGGCGGCCGAAATTTTATTCTACTGAAGCTCAGTGTCATTAGGACAAGACAGCAAAAGTTCGGTACGCAGTGCCTCTTGATAAGCTTGCCTGACTGAGGGCTGAGACAGCTTCTCAGTTGCCAATCGGGGGAGACGCTTGGCGCGCTTCCCGGTAAAGTTCTAGGAGAAATGACGGCGTATCAAGGCATGATCAGAGTCGACGCAGGTGCTTCAGTACGAGCGGCAATCCAGGATGGAACCACGCCATCTGTAACTTATGGCTATGTCGTCAATTTGTGTCCATCGCTGGCCAGCTACAGGAGGACGCCAAGTAGCACTTCGGCGCGCACTGTGCCTAAAAGCAGTGCTACTAAGAAACAACTGGTGCTCCGCACACAGTTGCAGCAGACGCTCACCGTTGTCAGTTAAGCCCCTAATTACCACCCAGCTGAGCTTCTGAAGAACTCAGACGCCCTACTTGTGCATTCATATCCCCTGCAAGTACTATAATATCTGAACTAGTAGCACTGCGTAGTAGGGTGTTCAGTTCGTGATAGAATGTGTCCTTGACAGCATTAGAACTGCAGTCAGTGGGAGCATACACGGAAATCACAAACAAACAGCGTTTTGTATTGCTTCGTGAATTCACCTTAGCTGATATCGTCAAACGGGCTGCACATAAACGGCTGTTCACCGGAATCCAATCAACCAACGATGGCTCAACCTTGGAGCTTAGAATGATACCTACACCAGCTTGACCCGTGAGTGCTGCATCAACGTCCCCGGATGCGTGCAACCAATAACGAGAGGATAAGCCGGGTGCAGCTAATTCAACAACCCCGTTAGGGTCATTGATCCTAGTTTCGGACACACAACACATCAATATTTAGTGTGTCCAATGTGCGTGCGAGTGCAGCCTGTTGATCTGTTTGTCTTAGAGTGAGAACGTTGAATGTTGCCATGGAAACGGAATAGTGTGGCCTTATAAGGAACTTTTGCCGATAGGCGTCCGATAGGTGCTGTGGGATGGTGGCTGCAGATGGTTCTACTCCAGTGACACTCCGGTTGCTGTCATTTAAGCTGGGACTTATAGAAGGAAGGTTAGTAATGGGGGTCGGGATGGGAGTAAGAGAAAAAGGTGTGAAAGAAAGAAAGGAGGTGCCAGCGGTAGCATGTTTTCGCTTATCTGCCCTGCTGTATGCAGCAGATAAGGCGACCCATGGTAATCTGCGCGACGGCCGATGCAGGATGAAGTTTATGTTTGAAGAAAATGTCAGAAGAAGATCCCCCTACTTTATGGAATTAAGACTTATCGTTTTCGGTTTGAAGATCTTAGGCTCCTGCAAGTCTTTGATGGTCGCTGTTTACGGGGCATGGTTGGTGTCCGGTGGTACCAACTTGTCCGCAACGGTGGTGTGCGTAGACGAATACTTAGCAGTGACAACCAAGCTAGTTCATTGGAACACAGCACTAAATAAGCTGCGTTGGCTTGGACACGTAATATATACGCTTGGCCTCCGCTTACTGAGGAGGGCTTTGTTTTGCCTTCCAGTTGTTGAGGGATTCAAGGCTCGAGGTGACCACACCTTGGCTTGGTAGCGGGGAATGAAGTCACTGGTGACCAAACTGGGTACCGCCGGTCCGTCTTATCTTCGAGACTGGAGTCCACGTGACTGGCCTTGTGCTTGGCTCGAGACTTTACAGGACATGGTTCGCAGTCGACGCCAGTGGCGCGTTTGCTGCCGTCTGCTAGTCAAACAGCTTGTTTAAAGTGTGTTTGTCGGCCGGTGGCCGAGTGGTCTGCGCGTTTGGTTTGCAACCGTAAGGTCACCGGTTCGAATCCGCGTAGGGGTGGACGTCCTCGCGGTATACTCAGCCCGCGCGCGACTGGTGGTGGTCACGCGGCAGCAAAGCGCCGTTACGGCATACAGGTGATACATTATTATTTTATTATTATTATGGTGCTGGGTTGTCTGCGGGGTGATGGCTGAATATGACGCGGGGCGGTGAAACCTATAGGGAAACTGTCTCCCCGATGACGCTTTACCTTTGCACGATAGTCAGCTGTTTGTGGTGGCATGTTGTTGACAAGGTGTAGGCGCCTTGACCCTGCATGTATGCTTAGGGTGTTAAGATTTTAC